AAAAAATAAAAAAAATAGAATGGGAACCCCGTACTCAGAGAGGTGAAGGGACCTACCAAAGGCCTCAGCGCTCGGATCCAGCGCAGCCCAGGTACCAGCCCAGGCCTCCTCGATAGACTCCGAAATCAGTGTTCCTCCCTATCTATGCCAAGGCCCTAGGTGAGGGTACCCTCATACCCCAAACACATACCATTCACTGTGCTTCTAAATTCTAGAATAATCCCTGGCATGCTGGAGCTCCACACGGTAACAGAATAAAGTACAGAGTGAAAGCACCAAAGAGACAAGGCGTTGTCCTGACCCAGCTGCAAGCTGTGCCTTCTAAGACAGCACCTGCGAGATGCAGATGTGGGCCTGACACAGCACCTCCCCCTGCTGTCCTCCAGCTTGCCGGGCCCTCTGGGCAGAGGGAGCTGAGGGCCATCTCTGCCTGACGGCCCTGAAGGGAAGTTACACTACCCAGTCAATTCTGTATTTATTTTAGATAATAAGCAGCAACTTGAATGCTGCTGACATTAACCTTCAGGGCAAGAATTGGTTTTAATGGACCCCATAAAAGTTATTATTGATGGCAGCATCACTATGACCTCAGCAAAAGGCTCCACCGCTGTCGATACTGTTGAGAATTACTATTGACTAATGCAAGGCTGGGTGTGCAGGTAGAGTCAATGTTCCTGTGGCTATAGGTCACTGGGGGTTATTCTCTACTATTCTCATTTATCTGGCAAGGATCTCTGGGAAGCTGGTTGTATATCTGTGGTGGCCTCAATTGACAGCTTAAAACTCCCACTGATTCAAATGGAGAAAAGCAAAGGGCTGGGACTCTAGGATCAGAGAGACCCGAGTCCAAATCGAAGCTTTCCTGATTTACTGACTATCATGTCAGTTGGCCTCTTTGTAGCCTCGGTTTTCTCACCTGGTAAATGGGAATATCCTTGTTAGGATTAAAGGTAATTGTATATGTATAGCCATAGGGCCTCAGCACAGGCTGCTCACTTTGCTTTATTTCTGAATAGTGGTCACATGGCAGTACGTTGGCTAGTGTGTCATGTGGAATTGTGCTATGTTTTTTTCAACTTTCAAAAATTTTATTTGTTTGTTTATTTATTTGGTACAGGGTCTCTCTATACAGCTCAGATGCATAGTGATCCTCCTGTCTCAGCCTCCTGAGCTCTGGGATTATAGGTGTGTACTACCAGGAAAGCGCTTATTCTACTGAGCCATCTCCCTGGCCCCAGGTGTGCACTACCACTCCTGGTTTTGGTGGCCGACTTGGCGTGGGGCCAGCACAGCATGTGGTACTGGAGTTTGAACCTGGGCCTTGTGCTCGCCAGGCAGGCACTTAGACGGCTAAGCTATCTCCTTGGCTCGGGTTGTTTGCTGTTTTGATGGTGAGATCCAAGTTCTCATCAAAGAAGGAGAGAGCTGGGAGCAGGCTGGATATGAGAAGAAGGAGTGGAAAAGGAAGAGAGGGAGGGAAGGAGAGTGTGTGTAAAGAGTGAGAGGGAAGGAGAGACTGAAAAGAACCAGGACTCTATGATGCCTCGGATTTCCCAGCTGAGCGAGAGCGTCGTGAGCCTACGCAGTGAACAGCAGCAAGCATTCTAGGACCGCTGTCACTACCCACACCAGGGAACAGCACAGCTGTTAATGTCACTTCCCAACCGAGGCAGGCTGACAAGTGCACGGGCGCCTGAGTGGCTGGGGCCAGGAGCCCAGGTCGGCAAAGGCCACAGAGGCCAGGAGCCCTTCGTGAGGCCCACGGCTCACCTGCCTGGCCTGCTGGCCTTCTCGGAGTATAGCTGGGCTTGAAGGTCCACGGCCAGTGTGGAAATGGACGACCAAAGTCAGGGGAGTGACAGGGACTCTGACCCAGACCCCGTCCTGCCCTTGGATGGCCAGGCAGCTGTGGCTCCTGCCCTTGGGGCTGGAAGCCGGGAGGGGGCATTGTCATTGGCCGGCTCTGGCTGCTCCAGTTCACACTGCCACTGCCCACATCCCATCAAGTTTTTCAGGCTCATCAAGTATGTCCTTATCCCCATAGCAGAGAATTCCACTGTCACTCGGCTCCCAGGAACACACAGCAACATGGGCGGTGTGTGCCTTGCTCTGCCATGACGTCATGGAAAACAACCCTTTGTCACTGTGGCAGGAAGACTTCAAAAGAGTGAACAACCGCAGCATTGTGCTGCACTGAAATTTATTGGAACCACTCAGACTAGATGGAGATTCTCAAGCTGCCCAGCCCACTAGACTAGCTGTGTGGCCTACTCGGGATTCTTATGTCCTTAGGCTGTCCTCTTCATTTTCCTGTACAGTGTGACAGAAAGTCCACACCAGTATTGCAGTAGGAGCAAAGGGACCACAGGGTGACAGTGCGTGGACTCTGACAGCCATGGGTTATTAATTTCCGCTCAGGCGCCCCCATCACGTACAGCACGTAGGACCACAGGATCCCAGGTCTAGAAGGGCCTGCGGGCCACTCAGCTCGGTTGTTCTAAAAAGGCATCTGCTAGAATACTGATCCCTTCAGATGCTTGCAGAATTAAGGGTGCTTTGGTTTGAGGAAGACCACGTAGACCTTGCATTAGCACATAACCATGACATGAATATCTTAAAGGCTTTGAGCAGTTCTGTAGGAGAGAAACTAGTTTAAATTTGCATAAACCACTGTTTCTTCCTCACCTGACTATAGATACTTTTCCCCTTCATGCCTAGGGGCCATCAACATTTTCAGAACATAGGGAACGTCAATTCCACTGAAACTACTCTACAAATTAGGAAACTGAGGTCCAGAGGAAGGCGCAGGTCTCCCTGTGCCACGTGCCAAGCCAGTGATGGAGCTGGGGGTCTCCTGTCAGTGATTGAGTTGGGATTTCCTGTCCTCTAACCAGACCAAACTTCTCTGCGCCAATCACTCTGCCACCCTTGGATTTGGTGTTCTGGCTCAATGCAGTGAGGAGAGGAGGAGCTGTTGGCTCAGCTTGGACCCAGCTTGGGGGTTGGAGATGATGACACTGTCAAATTAGTGTCCCAGGCCTGGCTCTCTCCACAGCCCAGCAATTGCACCAGCTCCCTGAAGAACATGAGTCCACGGGTGACACAGTTTTGGAACTCCTGCTGCACCTGGATCTTTGAGAGTAAGGTTCCTACCTTGACCTTGGCCAGGCTTGGTCATTATCTGCTCCCTAATCTAGGACTTAGCTTTACACAGCCCAGGCATAGCCTCCTTTTGAGATTGGCCCCTCCAAGTCCTCAGCTCTGCCCTGGACCCCACCCTGCCCTTGGATGGCCAGGTAGCTGTGGCTCCTGCCCTTGGGGCTGGAAGCCGGGAGGGGGCACTGTCATCAGCCGGCTCTGGCTGCTCCAGTTCACACTGCCCTTCCCACATCCTTCTAGGGGCTCCCTCAGTGAGCGAGCTCCTGTAGACCCCCATGGGGCTTCCCAGAAATAAAAGCCTATACTGGGGACAGCGCTGTTCTGGGGTCCTGCCACTCTTCCTGAGGCTTCCATGAAGATCCCATAGGACCCTCCCGTCTCAGTGCTGTCTGTGGACAGAGGTTGGAGGTGAACCACACATGGCAGAAAGTGAGATTCCTGAGTGGCTCAGCTCCATGCAGGACTGGGCCTAGCCAGAGCTCTTCTGGAAAGACCTGCCAATAGGCTCCAAGGGGAGGCAAAAATTCTGCAACTGGCCGCTTTTCCTCCACCAAGAAGGAGGTGGGTGAACCAGCCTGCTCCCTTTCCTCCTGTGACATCCTGGGGCCCAGAAAGAACTGCAGGTGTGCAAGAGAATGGCCTGCCACCAGCACCTCCTGGGGCCACAGAAGCCAGGCCAGAACCTCACATTTTTACTTCTTAAAATTAATTCTTAATCTTTCTTTCAAATGACAAGTAATAGCTGCATATGCTTGTGGGGTACATTATGATGTTTTGGTGTGTGTACATTGTGGAATAAAAGTGCCTACCACCTCACCTAGTTTTTATTTTCTAATGTATTTGGTTGTTGCGGGGTCTCACTATGCAGCTCAGACTTGTGGTGATCCTCTTGCTTTCAGCTTCCCCAGCTCTGGGATTATAGGTGTGCGCCACTACGCTGGGACTCTGGCCGGCTCAGCCCATCCTGAGGGGTGGGACTCGCATGGCATATGGTGCCAGAGATCAAACCACAGTCCCTGCGCTTGTCTAAGCAGGCGCTGAGCTATCTTGCCGACCCTACTTATTTTTTTTTTTTTTGTGTGTGTGGCAAAAATATGTTTTACTCTTTTAGCACTTTGAAATGTACACTACTACAGACTCAGCATCTTTAATCTGAAAATCTGAAACCTCTGAGCACTATGTTAGATTTCACAGATTTTGTATTTCAAATTTCTAGACCACTGAAACCTACAAAGAAGTATTCCCAAATGTGAGTAAGTCCAATTTTCAGGTCCCAGGTCTTATTTAAGTTAAGTGACACTCAGCCTGGTTGACTGCAGTCAACATGTGTAAGAAGATGGTAAAACTCATTTCCCCTAGCTATTGTGGGCTCTGGTCAGCATCTCTAAAGCTCGAGTTCCAAGTTACCCCCAAATAATCATCTTTCATTGTAAGCCCTCTTTGGAACTTCATAAAGTACCAGGGTGGAAAAAAGTCCTGCAGAGGACCTCGGAAGGCCGAGCGCCTGGGGATGGGGGTGGCAGGAGCCCCCGTCGGCAGGAAACCCCGTCGGTAGGGCAGGGCACACACAGGAGACAGAGGACCGGCTATGGGGAGCGGCCATGAGATCCCTGGCATCCAACCAACCCCTTGGACACTGCCTTAGTCTAGACAGAAACAGCAGTGGCCCGGTCTCTGATCATGTCATCCGTGGGTGGAGATTTCACGTGACTTTTGACCACTGAGAGCAAAGTAATTTTCCACCAATTTCACCAGAGCCCCAACTATGGAACGGGAAAAATCAATGTTGCAACTAAACCTCAGGCCTCGGCGCAGGCTGGGCGCAGCCACTCGGCACTCACCGGTCTCGGTGTTCTCGTGTTCCGTGTCGGTGAGGGTGAGGTTGGAGTTGGCCCGGCTGGACAGGCAGGAGCTGCGCCCCGACCGAGTGCTCCGGCCCCACAGCCGCACAGGGTGCTCGGGCGACAGCACGGGCTCAGCCTCCAGGTCTGCGTCGGAGCCGGCGCCCAGGGAGTATCCGCAGTGGGGCAGCCCCACGTCCGGGCGGTAGAGGGTTCCGTGGGGCGGCGTCACCTCACCCAGCCCCAGCTCCCGCAGGCTGAAGTTGGCTCCTGGAAGGGGACACAGTGGTCAGCGCCTTGCCTGTCCCAGCTGTGCTGGGGGTGGGGGAGTCTGCCTGGTGGGCCTCTTTCTGCTTCTTACCCGGATGCTCTCAAGTGGTCTGGCGTTTGAACCCAGGCCGTGTGCGTCGGAGGCAAGCTTTCTACCTCCGAACTAACGCAGTTCACGGGATGCTGTCGATAAAACCCATCTTGTGCAGCCCTGCTCGGCAAGTGTCCTGTGCACCTGTACCTGTGCGGCCTTCCCTGCTGCCCCCTGCAGCTCTGGTCCCGCTGTGCAGTGCGTGTGTGGGGAGGCGACCCTGCAGGAGCAGGGCTCCGAGCTTGGAACAAAATCTGGTAGTGAGGAGAGCCTCAGCGCGCATCTGTGAAGTCCTACAGGGCGTCAGGGCTCCTTGCCAGGGGACTTGCCAGCAGTTTCGGAGCAGGACAAGCGCCTAGTCCAGGAGCCCTGTGCCGCCTGGAAGCAGAAGCTCCCTCTGGCCAGGTCAGGAGGCCTGAGCACTAGAGGGAAGAAGACGTGGACAGCGGGAGAGGAGCTGGCTCCGGACGCAGGGATAGGTTGCATCTGCACCTCTGCACACTGCAGTTCTTCTAAAACATGCCTAGCTGGAACACAGGCCACCTTGAGAACCAGAGCTCACAGTGTGGCCTGTCAGCCTCTCCTCGCCTTGCCGGCCTTCAGCGTAGCCACAGAGCGAGAGAACAGAGGTGGCAGGCAAGGCCGGGGGAGGCCAACCGGGCGGCCCTTTTGAGCTCTGGTTTTCAAGCCTGATTGTTTTCTGCCCAGATTGTGTTTTCCAGGAAAGAGTGTCCTAGCAGCGATAGGTCTCTCGAGGGTGTCAGGAAGTCCACCAGTGCCCAGGGCCGAGGCTGGGGCTGCGACTGCGACTTACCTTCCTGTCACTGGGACAAAACATCCAGCACCCACAATTTGAAGGAGGACAGGCTTACTTTGGCTCATGAAATTTGGGGGGTTTAGGGCACGGCTGGCTGGCACCAAAGCAGAACCACATGGCGGAGGTGGGGTAAGGGAAGGCCCTCATCCCACAGTAGCCAGGAAGTAGCAGGGGAAGGGGAGCTGGGCTAGGAATGCCCTGGCCATACCTGCTGCCTACCTCCACCCAGCCCCTGCTTTAGACCAGCACATGGGGCTGCAGAACTCATCCATGAGTTCTGGTGAGTGTGGTGCCCTGTGAAGCAATCCCCTTCCAAATACCTGAGTGATGCCTGGGGGGCGGGCACTTTAGGCCTAAGCCATGATACTAGGTCGAATGTGGGCAAGAGCAGTTTGTCCAGGGCTTAGGGATGGAGTAACAAGGACAGGCAGCCTTCATAGGAAACACAGCCCGCTTCACTACTCTTGCAGGTAACTCAATGTGTTTTCAGGGCCGCTTCTTTCAGGTCCTCCAGTTCCCAGGAAAGCATGGGGGATGAGGAAGAGGGAGTGCATGGTGGCTGTGGGGGTCATAGCCAGGTAGAGGGGTGAGCTACGGAGACAGACTTATAACCAGGTGGCACCTAAGTGCAAGCCAGTGCCATGGACGTTAGGCAGAATGACTGTCCCCTACAGTGAACAGTCAAATTTATTTGCTGTGGACAGCCTGGACTACGTTGATTTCTGTATGGTTTGCCCTGCACACCCTTTTAAGCAGCCAGAATCAGAGTCAGGTCTGCACCTTCGAGCTGAGATGTGTTGAGGGGGTGGGTTGAGCAGGGCAAGGCTGGGGCAGCCTTAAGGGTTTAGCATGTCTGCAGAGAGAGCCAGCCTCTCTCAGCAGACAGTCTGGGACTTACGTCATCACATGTGAGGAGTCCTCCTGGTCAGTTTGCTTTGTGACCTGTCAAGCCTCTTCCCTGAGAGTTCAGGACAGGGGTTGGCATTGCCATACTCAACATCTAGCCGTGCAACCTGGGACTGGTAATTCCCCCCCCCCCCTTCAGTGCTTTTGCCTTCATGTGGGATGATGAGAAAAGGCTTGCTAACCTTGCGGGAGTTCTGACGACACAGGATGGTCCTTTGTACACCACCATGTGTGTGCCTGTACTGGGGATGAGGATACTTCTTATTCACGATTTACAAAGACCAGGCTGAGCTCCCTTCTAAGTGAGCCCCATGTGCTTGTGCTGCCCCTCAACCCGGGCTGGTTGGGCTGCTCACAGGCAGGAACGAGCTAGAGTCAAGCTTTGAGATACTGCGTCTATTTCTCTTACCCAGACTCAGAGACAATAATCGACAGCAGCATTTATGAAGCATCTGCTCTGTGCCAGGCACTGGTGTCAAGTACATATTTTCAGTTTTCATCCCTTTATGCAGGTAAAAAAACCTGAGGGTCAGGACAATGACACAGGCAGGATTTGAATGCAGAGCTGTCTGGTGCCAGATCCTGTACTCCTAACTGCAAGCTGAGAAATGGCTGAGAGACTTTCACGGAGACCCTGAGGAAGCTCGCTCCCAGACCCAGCCTGTGGGAGGGTGGGGGCGGGAGATCACACGAAACACAATAATATCATGCTGATTTTCAAGAATGTGAAGAGATAAGAATGGATGACAGGGTGACCAATACTCGGCCAAGGTGTCCATTTGCTGTCAGAGTGGGATGAGGGCTCAGAACGCAGTGGTCTATCACTGTGGTCTCGGAGTGGCTTTGTGCATGACCTGCTCCTCCTACCTTTGTGATCGCAGGCAGATGAGGCAGCCCAGAGCTGTGGTAAGCATTACCTAACAGGTCCAATGTGTATAAATGGCCTGGCCTGGTGCTCCACTGAGCCTCTCTGTGGAGGGCGGCAGGGCAGGGAGCAGGGCAGTGTGAGCTGTCCCCACTGGAGGGGACTGCTGTTCACCATCCAGGACCCAAGGGATGCTTAGCCTCCCTGTGAGCAGAGAAATAGGAGCCCTGAAGTCCAGAGCAGTGGGTGCGGGAGCAGTGTAGCAGGCACGGGCTGTGCACAGCCGGGAAGGGAGGCAGAGCACAGAGCGGTCTAGGACAGCGACGGTGAGCCTTTTGGAGACTTCAATGATACAAATGGCCCGCTGTGGCATGTGTGCTGTAGATTCAGCACCACTGGCCTAGAAAGCAATGGCTTTGTTAGAGCTGCCCAAAGCCAGTCCAGGGGCTCAGGGTCAAGCACATGGAGTCGCCCATGGAGTGGCTCAAGAGTGGCTCCTGGGGCAAAGGGGAGTATTGTGGCTAACCCCCATGAGAGATGAGAATGGCCAGAACAGGGAAGTGGCAGAGGAAAGAAGAGGGTTGGATGCACAAGGCATCCTTAGAGAGGATGAATACACCTTGGTGACTAGCAGATGGAGGGAAAGGGCAGGGAGCCAGGGGGCAGCATAGCCTCTCCCAGATCACCAGGTTTTCAGATCTAACCACCCTAGCAGCATCTTCGTCTCTGGGCCACATGGAGTGGACATAAAGAAGATGCTAAATAAGCTTGCAGAATGAATAAATACCAAAACCGAGTATTGGTTTCCATACTCCCTTGGTGCCATTAGCCTGCTGCTGCTTAGATATGTCACCTCAATGCCCACAAGTCACTGCAGTGGGGAGCAGGTTCACATCTAGCCAGCCTGAGTCTCGGAGGACAGCACAGCTCTGGCCCCCTTATGGGAGCCTGGTTCCACCTCAGCTGTGCTAAGGGGTTGGGTGCCAGGAAGACCTAAGAGTGAGCCACAGTGCTGGCTTGCACCACAGGCAAGGCTTCCTTTCACCCCTCTGCTCGCCTTCTGGCTCATCCTCACACACAGCTCACCTGTGCGGGGCTGCTCTCCAGCCCTCTGTCCCCTACCTGCACGGCAGAACTCCTCGGCCTCCTGCGGCACCATGTCCTTGACGCGGCTGCCGTAGGCCAGGCGGGCATCCTGGTCATAGGCCTTCAGGGTCTCACTGGAACTGTAGGACTTCTGAGGTGCTTTGCCCTCCTCGCTGTCAGCAGACGAGCTGGTGTAGCGGCGCTCGGTGTCGCGGCGCCGTGTCAGCGAGCGGTAAGGCTTCCTTTCCTTCACGTCCATGGCCTCCAGCCCGCGCTCTTCCACATCCACCAACTGGGTCCTCACCACACTCAGGGCCAAGAAGTCTGGAGCTGGAAACAAAGCAAGGGGTACGCTCAGTCACCCGGAGGCAACAGCAATGCTGGGGCCCACCCAAGCAGCCAAGCGCATGGGGATGAGGCTGAGCAGGCGAAGGCACCACGCCACCGCCACCAGGCTGGCCCATGGCGGAGGGCAGTGGTACCTAGGCCTCTCCTGGTAAACCCTGCTGCTGCTGCTGAGCAGCTTTCCACTGGCTGCCCCAGCTGTTCTCCTCTGCTGGCTATCAAGGGAGTGATGACCAGGACCAGAGGCACTCTGTGTAGTCACGTTTGAGCCAGCAACTGTCTCAGCTTGTCCACACCATGTCCTACTGGGCTTGACCCTGGGCCCCAAGAGCCCCTTGGGAATCTGCACAAGGAATGGTCATATGCAGGGCCTCAGCAGTCCATGTTATCTCAAACATCATTACTGACTTCAGCCTTTTCTGGACATAGCCAAGGTACAGCCAACCAACCGGTCCTTATTACAACTCAAATTTTATACGACTGCTAGGTTATTTGCTTCTTTTCTGTTTCTCCCCACTAGCAGGTGCGTGTCCTGAGAGAAGATACCTCGCTGGTTTTGCCTACTCCTGAGCCACAGCAGGCTGGGGACATGGTAGACGCCAAGTCTACACTGTCCATGCTGGGCTCAAACTTGATATCCTTCTGTCTCAGCCTCTCGGGGTGCATAAATATTTGTTTTCTAACTAGCTCACTGGACAGGTGATAAAATAGGTTCAAAACCTCCTTTGAGATCACTCAGTTGCAAATAACAATTGGATTTCACATCTCTTTGGCTCTAAGGCCTGATTTTCTCATTCTATCTTGGTTCTGAGCCTCACAACATCCCTCCAGCTTGCCATCTCAGACCTATCGGTCTCAGCAGTGCCACCACCAACATCTGCAAGTGCAGGACTTGTCCCTGTGGCTGGGGTTGCTGTGGTGTGCAGAGGAGAGTCCTCCTCGGCGTGCTCTGCTCCTCTGGCCTGGACTGATACCCACGAGCCTTGAGCTGCAGTACTGTCTGGCTCTCTTACGTCTCCTCCAGTAGCAAGCGCAGCACCCCTGGGTCGGCACCAGGCAGAGGAGGACAGCACGTATCCTTCAGGAGCATGTAACCAAGGTCCCTCATCTTCCTGGAGGCATGCGCCTTCTCAGTTCTGGCTTTCGCTGCTCATGTTTGAGAGCCACATGGGTGCATGAGGCACTCCCTCACTTTCCTGTCTAATGAGCATAACAGCATGGCAGAAGCCTTGTCATGAACCCAGTGGATTTGGGCCCCAGGGCCTGGTCTTCTGGTGACGACAGCCTTGCAGGGCTACGCATTCGGGGTGTCCAATGTCCCCTGAGTTCTTAGGACATGCTGGAAATTTGCATGTAGATATAAAACGTATGATTTTTAAATGTCATTTTTTAAAAAACTGAAAAAGAAGTACTTTGTAGGTCAAAGGAAACACTGGGTGGGGCAGATTTGGCTGAGGCGCTAGGGCCCGAATCCCCTGGGTTCATCGCGGGGCTCTTGCCAAGCCACCACTGTGGAGGCCTGAGGCAGCCCTCTGATCTGAAGACAGTCTCCCCCTCCGAGCACCTCACTGGCCCTGTCCAGGGCAGGCTTCAGCTTGGCTCTGGTGCAAAACTTGCCTTATTAGAGAGCCCTGTAGACCACAGCACTGCAAAGGGCAGGGCTGGGGTGGCCGGGGGCGGGGATTTCTGTGGGACTGTGGATCCAAGTATCTACAGCAGGCTTCCCCTTCCCTAGTCCTCCACATTCTTCAAGGAGCACTAGCACTTGGGACATCACAGCAGGGACCCGCACCCAGGTGCTCTCCTGCCCAGGCCCTTGTGGTGAGCTGGCGGCAAAGCCAGCCTCCTAGGTATGCTGCACTTGTTGCTACAGCCAGTGAGGATGGATGAAATGGCCTTTCGATTCCCAGTTCTCAAAGGATCCCTAGAAGCTGGGCAGAGATTTGACCTGTAACACCATAAACCAAGCCATGATCAGTGCTCTTAGCCGGGCTCTGAGCTCTGCGGCCCTGAGGCCCAGCCTCCACGCCAGCTGCAGGATATGCTCCTGAGGGGAGCGCAGGGCCGCGAGAACCGGGCCGGCCTTGGACTGCAGGGCTGACCTGACTGCAGTGCACAGTAGAAAACCTTTAGCTGTGTCCCCGTGTGCACACTGGTGTGTGAGTGTGTTCACCCACATAAGATGGAAACACAAGACTCACAGCTACTGAGTCCTGACCTTCCCTACTTCACTCTCTTCCACTTTGTGTTAAAGGCTAATCACTCTCTGGACCGCTCTCACGGCCCGGTGCCGGCTTCTGACACAAAGCCCCGCTGTGGTTTGGTTCAGATGAGGTTTTGTGGCAACCCCTGCTTCTGTGCCCTCTGGCCCTCCCTTCCAAGTCCACAGTGCTGATCGCAATAAGCCCTCAATAAACGTTAATCATCATAGTCACTAATAACTCATAATAATAGTATTTACAATAATAGCTCATATGTTTTCTTTAGTACCTAATGTTTATTGTATTTACTTTTAACTGGTATTATATGTGATAATTTTTTTAATCTCTATGCCGGCCTTGTCACATATATATTACGATTATCTGCAAATTACTGGTGAGAAATTGTGAGGTTAAATATTGGGCCCGGGGTCACACAGCTCGTGCCTGGTAAGGGCCAGACTGTGCGGCAACTGCTGTGACCCAGGGGGTTGAATTGGGCGGGTGGATATGACCTCAGAATGGCCTGCAAAGCCATGTCAGGCCCTTGGCCTGCAGATGCCGTCCTGGCCACCCTGCTGCACAGTTAGGACGGGGTCCAGTCTCCTGCCAAAGCGAAGACTCTCCATCTGGACCACTTCACCGAGGTTCTCGCCGTCTGCGGCGCATCTCCTCTGGGGCTCCTGCCCATGGGCGCGAGGTAGCTCACCAGGTAGTACATTCGTGCCCGCCTCTTCCCTGGACTACAGCCTCTCAGGGGCAAGCATGGGATCCACAACTCTCGCAGAATTCTTTTCAGTGAATAAGGGAAGAAAATTGCTTGGCAGTTACTTCACTCCATATCACCAACCATAGGGAACATGGAATACTGGTGGTTCACCACAGGCTGGTGTGCATTCAATCTACCTAAGGCTCAGTTAGAGGCGCTGCTTTGATATATTCCTTTTGAATCTTCAAGGTAACTTGGGCAGAAGTATGTGTCTCTGCTAGCCAGCTGCGTGATCCTGGGGAAGCTACCTTCTCTGTGCCTCAGTTTCTCCTCTGTAAAACTCCCAGAGTTATTCTGAGGACTCAGTGTCTCAATACATGTTCCTGGTGGCCAAGCATGGTGGCGCCTCCTGCAATTCCAGCACTTGGGCAGCCGAGGCAGGAGGACTGCACAAGTTCAAAATTAGCCTGGGCTATACAGTGAGTTCAAGGCCAACCTGTGCTACAAAGCGAGACCCTATCTCAAAGAGACAAGCGCTCAATATGTGATAAGTATTATTATCATCAGAAAATATCCATTTTCTTTTTAAGAGGCATAACCTAGAAGACTCCAACTAGGTATCGGTTATAATTGGAGAAGGCACATCTTTCCAGAAGTGTGTATTAATAAAGTCAAGAACAATTGCAGGGTGTTAAATTAGCGAATTGTAATTTTTTTATATCAATGTTTGGCTGTTGAATAAAGCCAGGGGCTTTGAGGCAAAGGAGCAGCAACTTCAAATTACTGAGGATGAAGTGCCCAGACTCATAGCTTCCCTGTCACAAAATGCAGGCACAAAGAACCAGTGCCTCCTATTCTTTGCTGAATTTAGTGTTAATGTAGCAATTCAGTAAATAATCCTTTGCGAAGACAGGAGGTCAGTTACGGCTTACGCTCAAATGGCATTGAATAAAAGCCAAAGATGAGGGTGGAGGAGGAGTAAGAGTGGGACACAGCTCTCCCTGTAGCAAGGTCTGCGGGACACTGACAGGGTTCCCTGGCCCGAGGTGGGCGGCATGCAAAGGGACTAGGGCATGCAGGACACCGCCTTGGGCCTTGTGGTCTCCCATGCCTGGGCGCAGGGACAGAAGCATGTGGCACATACCACTGCTACGATTTAAGTGTGTCTGTCCTAAGCCCATGCATTGGGCACCTAATCCTCAAATTCACGTGTTGATAGTATATGCAAGTGGGGTCTATAGGAGGCCACAAGGGCGAGGCACACTGCGAGGACAGCCCCTATGCACAAGGTGTAGCTTTAGGAGGAGAAGGGAGGCCCAAGCCTGCATGCTGTCTTGCCAGGCGATGCCATCTGCCAAGCACTGATAGAGCGAGTACTCACCACAGGCTTGCACCTTGTTATTGGACTTTCCAGACGTCAGAACCGATAAACACACTTTGTAAATTACTCAGACCGTGGTAATCCATAGCCACACAAAATGGACCAAGACACCTGGCAACCTCTGGCTTCCCCATTACCCATAAAACCCACAGGTGTGAGACTCCAGGGCGCTGCAGACTTCTAGCTGTCCCAACTCTCCCTGTGTTTCCTCTCACTGCTCTCCTCCGGACACACACATTCCATTTCCGTCTCTCAGAGCTTCCTACTGTGTCTCGGGCCCCGTCCTTCTTCACACACTGTACCTGCCTCTATATTCACTGTTGGTTGGGCTCAGCAGGAGAAGCGCAAGGAGATTCCGGCTAAGAGGGCTGCAGAAAGGAGGGCTGAACTGTCTGCGCTGCTCTGTCCTACGCTTTCAGCCTCTGTCCCTCCCACCTCTCTCCAGATTGCCCTTTTCAGTCTCCACCTTGCACTGGCCTCGCTAGAACATTTCTCTGTCCTCACCTTACCAGCACACGGGGGTACCGGCTCCCTGCTGCTGCAGACCCTCTTGGCCAGCTCCCTGGTCTTGCCACACCTCAGTCTGTTCATTAAAGTCTACTCTGTTTTCTGTGAGGTTCCTAACACATGACACAGCTTCACCTCATACTAGCTGGCTGATTTTCAGCAATCATCATCACCATTGTTCAACTAACAA